GTACATTAATAGGTACAGGTACAGTCACAGGTACATAAATAGGTACAGTCACATGTACATTAATAGGTACAGGTACAGTCACAGGTACGTTAATAGGTACAGTCACAGGTACATTAATAGGTACAGTCACATGTTGATTAATAGGTACAGTCACAGGTACATTAATAGGTACAGGTACAGTCACAGGTACATTAATAGGTACAGTCACAGGTACATAAATAGGTACAGTCACTGAGTGAGGTACATTAATAGGTACAGCTTAATCAGCAGAGTGTCTGACTAGTAATTATAATCTGTGGTGGATGCACACTACAGGGTAATCAAAGAAGTTTTGATTGGTACTTGTTCAGTATTCATGGTTCAATATTTCCCAGGTTGTTTCTATTATTACAAAGGTTTCTGGACTTTGGATTAATTAGCCTGACATTGGTGTTACACCAGACATCTATCTGTCAAAATATCTGAGTATGGTGTCAGGGCCGGGGGAAACTCGGGCTATGGATTGATGTTTCAACTCAGCATTTGTTTGCATTTTGAAACTACCGCGTACCAAAATGTCAAGAGTTCTCATACCGTTAGTATTATCTTTCCTGTTACTGATGGTGTCAGAAATGTCCTCAAATGACCTAAATTGGGACGGGAAAAATGCACTGCCAGACCTGAGGATTCAAACCTGTGACGGATGCTCTACCAATTCAGCTAACTCGTTGATAACGAACCACCCAGTCCAGTACTGCTACAGTCGTTAATAGAACATTAAACAACAAATACAAACCAAACCTGTGGCCCTCCTTGTGGTGACAGGGAGTTCTATGCACTCTTGATCTTTCAGTTACAGTAGTAACTTACATAATTTATGCAAGTTAAATCTTATTATCGATCCGAGTCATATGTGTTACTTGTTGCTTAAGTAATTTTCATCATTGACGGATGGAATCATATCATTAAGTAACGTGTATCTCATTAATCACTTTCTCAACCCATTTTACGTTATACCCATTCGAATGGCAGGGGATGGGTTCACAAAGTGAAAGTAGACGATTCTTATTATACGGTTGTACTTACAATGTGCTCTGTATATGACGGCAGAATACTCAAATCTGTTGCTTATTGGCCGAAAATAAAGCTGAAGTTATGATTGTTTTTTCACAATTGTGATCAAGTTAGAGGTTCGAGGAAATTGACGAAGAAACATTAACGGTGGCACACTGTTGACTCGGTAGGTAACAACGTCCGAGTTATTCAGGTTACATCAACAAAAGGGTTCTATTGCATTTTTCTTCATTTTGATATAAACAAAGCAAAGGCAATCATTTTATTATTACGAATTCAAGAATTTCATCTAGCTGTATAATGAATATGTCCTTAGTTAACAAATATTCGTTATTTTTCTGAAAATGATGGATCATCCGTTTCTCCTGGGTGTTTTGAAGTGAGGTAATTGCCACAGACCTTATTAAACATGTAATTTACGCTGACACATCAGTAGCGACCAGCCGACCGGTACGACGGACTTTGCCCTGAAAAGAGGAAAACATGTTTTCTAAAATAAGTATACAGCTGGCAAGATCAACGCAGAAATATCACATTCTAAAAACATGTCGGCCGCACATTGCACTACAACGCTGTGCATCCGAAGTTGCATCTGAAACAGACTCGCCCGTATACGTTCCGCAGACGGACAGCCGACCTATCACAAATGTTCCTTTTGCAAAAGATTTGTTTCTGGGAAAGTTTGATAAGGTCAGAAACAAGTATAACACTTTTTAACCTTGAAAAAAATGCCGAATTTCCAAATTAAACTCAAGTATAGTGAGCTCATGTTTTGGAAATTAATACATTGTACTTGATATATATCATATGATCAGGTCCAGTACACTCTGCCGATTGAGCTATATAGCTGTAAAGACCTATAATAGCTCTATTGACCTATCTGAAATAGGTCTTTTGAGCTATTTTCAAGTGATTTTCTTTTTTAAGGAAAACGGAACGAAGTCGCATTTAAAAGAAGATTGTATCATTAAGTTGATAACAAAAGACATTAAATATAAGTATTCTTTTTAAAAAATAATGATGTAAAGAAATCGGAAATTTTACATTTATGAAAAATGAAAATAAACATCTAACTGTATGCTTTTTGTAGTCAACATTACCATTAACCTTATTGTTTTATGCGACTTTGCTTTAATGAGGACCCTGTGGAAGATTAGCTTTGCTAAACTGGTTTTGTATCCTCAATAAATAAAGTTTATTATTATTATTATTATTATTAATTTAATGAAATTTGAAATCTGAGAAAATATAGCTCAATACAGCTATAATTTATAGGTGTATATAGCTATATAGGTCTTTATAGCTATATAGCTCAATCGGCAGAGTGTACTGGACCTGATGATTGAAGGAAATTCACAAGGTAGCTGTTGGCCTATTGCCATCCTAAAAGAGGTTGTACAATATTTGTTTCCGTTATTAATTTACTTTTTAAGGTATTTCATACAGGCTCATGTCGGTGTATATCCCAAAATGTTAAAAAGGTGGAAGTTGGTTGGTATACCCATGTCAGGAAAACTGTCAATAATGACCTTTGCAGAAATTATTTGTTGAAAATATTGTTGACTTTGTCTGAAAAGTAACATTTTAATGTAGAATTCTAGTGACGCAAAATTGCAATGAATAATGGAATTAATGAAAAAACTTACCTTGAACATGCATTCCTGATGTATCCATTTATTGACAATTATCGAGAAAAATGTAAGAAAATGTGTCAAATCTCCAGAATAATAGCACATATTTCCACTGAATAAATCACAACTGAGCATAAAGCCAACAAGGCTTCCTGAAGTTGGGAAAAAGCATGCAAAGCAAGTGCGATTTTTCCTGTACACCATTCAAAACACCTTCAGGTTCTCACTCAGGTAATCTGGCTTGACTTGTATCAATAGCCTTGTTAGCTTCATGAATTATTGTAAAATATCCATTGAAAATACATGCAATCATTCTTGAGATTTGAAGTATTTTCTTACATTTTTCTCGATAATAGTCAATACACGGATACTTCAGAAATGCATGTACAGGTAAGTGTTTTCATGAATTATAATATTCAATGCAATTTTGCGCCACTAAAATTCTGCATTCAAATGTTACTTTTCAGACAAAGTCAACAATATTTTCAACAAATAATTTCTGCAAAGGTCATTATTGACAATTTTCCTGACATGGGTATACCAACCAACTTCCACATTTTTATCATTTTGAGGAAAAGTTATGAGCCAGTCTCATTGTATATACACTGACATGAGCCTGTATGAAAAACCTTAAACTTCTCATATTTTACCATTGGAGTTCAGTTGAGTTTTCCCATGACTATTCCTTGTATTGTTGATGGCCATGTATAATTCAGACTGAAATCCAAAACGTGGATATGGTGGCAATTTAAACAACACATTTCAGTCTTAAAATTTGTCATTTAACTCTTTAAAAGCCTATTTCTCCTAAATGAGAGTTTGAATTTCAATAAAGCATATCATGCATCATCCTAGGGACAATGGAATCAAATATTGAATTTGTATTAAGGAAAGGTTTGCTCCACTCAAGAGATTGAGGGTTGTGACACAATAGCGGAAAGTTTAGAGTTGGACATTATATGGGCTTTTTGTATCTTACAGAAATTTCTTCAATACCCTACACTACCGGAGGATGAGCTAAATGATTTAAACGAAATGGTTCAACCAATAGAGAAATACTTTGAGGAAGGATGTAAGTTTCTGAATTATGTATAATATGTTAACTAATAGCATGTATGTCTGAGAAATTTTATCCCACTGGATTAGATGTGGCCCTCAATGTTATTGATTACATTTTTCTTACACCTCACTTTAGCATTTGGATCACTTGATTCAGTGACATACAGTCTTTAGACTGGTCATGCTGATAATATTTCAAATTTTGGGATATTGTAAACTGTTCCTTTATTGGTCAATTCTAACACTGCTCAACATACTGTTTGCACAAACTTTGTGTTACATAATAAATGACTTACTTGTGTAAACAGTTTTTCATGTATAATTAATAAAACAACTTAAAGCTGACAGTGTAAGTTAAAAAGCTTTCAATTGAGGTTTATTTATTTTTTTAATGTTTTTCTAGTTAGCTCACCTGGCCCGAAGGGCCATGTGAGCTTATCCCATGGTGCAGCGTCCGGCGTCCGTCAACTTTTTCGTTTAAAATGCTACTTGTCCTGAATGGCTCAGAGGATTTTGACCAAATTTGGTCAGGAGCATCATTGGCCAAAGGGTTCTCAGTTTTGTATAAACGGAGGGTATAACCCCCCTGGGGGCAGAGGGGCGGGGCCAAATAGGGGGAAAATAGGTAAATCTTTAAAAATCTTCTTCTTAACAACCAATAGAAGGATTTTGACCAAATTTGTCCTAGAGCATCTTTGGACAAAGGAGACTCAAGTTTGTATAAA